TAAAGCCCTGGGTATGAATTTGATTGCCCAGGGGAGAGTGTGTAGAGAAAGAAGACTGTGTTGAAACCCTGGGGGAACAGTACTAAGGATCAGGCAAAGGAGAAAGGGGTCTCTGGAAGCTGAGAAGGAGCATCCAGAGGGGCTGCAGAAGACCAGATGATGATGATGATGATGATGATGATGATGATGATGATGATATACCACCGAAATCATATGGGTGTAATCTCTTTGAGGGAAGATCAAATTCAAATCATGTCTGTGTATTTCCAGTGCTGAGGACAATGCCTCTCTGTGGTGGGCCTTAAACATTCGTTGAGACTCCTGTGAAATGGCAAATATTGTCAAATGGTGCATTAATAAATACCATCAGCAACGAGTGGCCAAGCTATAGTTCAGACACCATCTGTGGGTGTGGACAGGCATTAAATATGGAAAGGTCCTGAGCGAAGAGGAGAGACTCCTGGCTTTGCCATCCCCTCCACCCACAGCAAGCAAGGCCTGGCTTCCCCTTCCTCTACCAAGATCGTTACCTTATGGGTAGGCTTCAGAGCATGAGATATTTCCTTAAAATCCACAGAAAGTTTTGATGCAGGGTTAGAAAAGTGACAAACCACAAGTGTGTGTGGGAGTGCCAGGCTCAAATGCCAAGGAACACCCTCAGCGAGAACATTGCCTTTTGGCATCCTGGTGACGCCCAAACAGGAGTCTAAAGCCTGCTAATCCAAAGCATCAGAAGAGCCAAATTTAGACTCTTTGAGCCAAAGACTAAGGAAGCTTCCAGGCCAGGCACCTAAGAAAGAGGGAAGCAGGCAGCCGGGAGGGTGTGAATGTATGTATTTGGGGTCGGGGGCAGGCAGAGACAGAAGAGCTACAGATTTTTGTGGTGTGGTTTTAAAGTTACTGCTTGAGATAGTGAAATAAGGCTAACAACATTATCAACTATTTAAATATACGGTATCTCAAGAATGCATTGTATTTGGGAAATTCCAGAGGTGTAGCCCAGTAGACAGCACTTATAAGATAACCTTAGGGTGATTGTGACAAGACTATAGTAACTAGAAAATGTTTTACCTTGAGGTAAGACTCAGAATAGTCCTGGTGATATTTTATCAACCAACAAACAAATCTCTGTTAACTAAGGTTACTGTTCTTGAAATGAATTTTCTTAAATATTTATGAAAAAAATGCATCATTTGACTATGGTAGCAACAGTTCTGCCATCATTTTAGTTTTACTCTATTTAGTAGAGAAATTTAAATGTTCAGCTTTTAAAGTTTCTTTTTGTAGCTTACTTTGCTTTTCCTACCTCAAATACCAGTTGAACTCCAAATCAAACTCTTTTAAAGAGAACTGCAGGAGAAAAATCTGGTCTCAAGATTTACTATCAGCTTTGGTGGGAAGGGAAATAAGCTGCCTACAGACTCATGATTTTTAGAGACTACTGAAGCCAGAGAAACAGACTCCTCTTGAAATGGTACTGTGTAAAATGTGTGTCTGTTTGTGGATCATTCTCTCATTGATCACTTGCAGCTTAACTGCTGGCGGAAAAATCAATGGGAGAGAGACAAGGTCATTCAGCATCAGGTTATCTGCATAGGAGTGGGACGGGAGGCCCCGAACTGGCATTGGGCTTTGGCTGGGCTTCCTAACAGCAACCTGAATGACTCTGGACACATTAATCCCTCTATTTCAGCTCATGCAGCCACAAAATAGATGTGGGAAGAGAGTCAGGCACAGTCTTTGCAAGACGTGGAACCTCAAGTTCAATGTTATTACATTGTCTCCTGGCATAACTCCTAACTGGTCATCCTTTACTGGTAGAATTTATGCAAACTGACTTTTCCCTTATCAGGCTGCTTCTTTCCCATCCTTGAAAAATACCTCATATGAGTCAGACTCTGTGTTCTACAATTTCTATATACATTGATTAATTGAATTCTCCCAACAAGCTCACTGAGAAGTGTGTGGGAGTCACTGGTAAGGGGTCAACCCTGCCCTCCTTGCTAGACCAGCCTCCTCCTCACTTAGCGCCACACTGGAAACATCTGGAGACCATTAAAGACAATAATAACACCACCACAGTGGACTAATGCTGGATCCTCCCCAGGACTGGCGAATCAGACTCTCCCGAGCGATGGTTGCTAATATACAGCTTGGCTGGAGAAGCACTCTTAGACCACGCTAGCTCTCTCAAATGAGAGGTAAAGACAAGAAGAAGAAAAAAAAAGCTATGATTAAGACTAGTGTTTATTGAGCCCCTACTACACATCACGTGTGTAATCTCTAATTCTCCCATACAAGTGAGAAATTATTCCCATTTTATGGATTTGAAAACTTTGGAGTTACTTAGAAATACCTGAGAGGAGAGAGAAAAGTGTGGTAGGTACATCAAACAAGAGAAAAGACAGAAAGAACAGAGGCAACACATCAGGAATTACTTGTATTACACTCATGATCCTATTTCTCACAGTGACCCTATGCAGTAGGGACTAGAATTGTCCCCCTTCTGCAGATGGGAAAACTGAGGTCCTATGAGGCTAAGCAGCACCCTCAGGCTACACAGCTGATAAGTGGCACAGTGTGGATTCGAAACCTGGGTCCAAGGTCTTAACCACACACAGTTTACATCACCCATCACTTTTCAGAGGAAGAATAAGAAGAGAAGCGAACAGGATTTATTTTGTTTAGTGCTCTGGGGAAGGCACTTTATATTCATTATCTCAGTGAATCAGTGAATTCAGTGAATCACTTCATCCTTTGAAGGGAATGTGACCTCCAACTTGAGTTAAGGAAACAGGCTGGCCAGGGTTAAAGCTTCTTGCTTAAGGTTTCAGTGAAACTGAAGCAGCAGTTTCAAACCCTCGGTTCAGTGTTCAAACCCTAATTCAATTTATTCCAAACACATGTTCCACAAGGACAACGCCAAAGTTAGGAATAGTGTTAAATACTAACGGCCAAGCAACACACAGGGCTCTAAGTAGGGAAAACAGAGCATGGGAGAGGGCTGAAATGGATTTCATTATGCTGGCTGGAAATTGAGATGTGACTGAATGAGGAAATATTTTAGTTTGCTTTGGTCAGGGAAGGACTGTAAATAGGCAGCAGAAAGTGATTTGGAAACTAAACATTCGAAACGCCAGCTATTCTTCTCTTCACTGGTTATTTGAGTTTACGCACAATCATCTGAACACAGGCCTTAACCTACAAGTGCTTCCCTTAGTGCCCCCCGGGACCATCAAACGCCAGCAGAGGGGTCCACATGATTGCATCTGACCTTGAAAACTCGGCTTTGATCACTTTCTTTAACCACTCCTTTTATTCTACTACCGTTACCACTATAATTCCATTTTTAAAAAAAAAATTATTATTGTTTAGTTACAGTTGTCCTGCCTTTCCCCCATCGCAAAAGCAATGGTCAGAGGCCACGAAGTGGGTGGCCAGGCCAGAACCGTGTGTATAAGGTTAGGCCAGAGGGCCCCTTCCATCCTTGTCAAGGGGGGTGCTAACCTTATCTCCTTTCATACAACACTATAATTCCATTTTTAATTGAAATTACTTTTGAAGTTTCAAAATAATATGTGATTTTTATTGAAAAAATAAATTTAGAAATGTAGAAGTGACGAAGAAACGTAGAGGTAAGAAGGGGAAAGCCCTGTGTAACCACTGTCAGAATCTGGTGAGCAGTCTCCTGGGCCGTATTCTGTACATTCATGTAGATGAGTTTGTCAGCATCAGCAAATCGGTTTTTGCCCGAATACAATTAAATTCTTTGTTGGGTAAACAGTCTTAGTATATTCCATTACTGTAGGAACTGGAGTAAGAGATCTTTTAAAACCAAAACTATTACACTTCAGGCCCAAGAAAAGTATAAGGTGAAAACATCCATTTACATGAGAGCTGACGTACACTTTTCTCACTGGAGCAGGAAACAGAGGGATTTGATGAGGAGCATCAGCTTATATCCCTTGTCGCTTCTCCTATGGCCCTGAGATTGAGGAAGCATTCAAGTAGTATTTCCTGAATGAATGGGAATTGTTTCCTTTATGGTGGTTTTATTTTGGGCTAGTGTCAATACCAAGAATAGTAGAAACACATGTAACCACATGTAAATGTTATAACAAGTGCTCCAAACATAATTACAAATTTTATTGTCATCCATTTTGGATCATTCAAGCCAGGATTCACTTCCAATGTTACTGCAAGTGACATATGAAATTTCCCTGTTACTTTTTACCACTTGTGTGACTTTGCCCCATCATCTGTCACATGATTTTTCATGAGGCAAATTAATTATAAGCTCTGAGAGAGTGGAGAGATTTCTTTTCATTTCTTTTGTATTCTCCAAGTGCTCAGTATACTGCTCTGCATACAGCAAATGCTAAATAAATGTTTGTTGACTTTTCCTGAACATAGTGACTATGTTAGTTTGCTAGGGCCACCAGAACTAAATTCCATAAGCTGGATGGCTTCAACCACAGAGATTTACTGTCTCACAGTTCTGGAGGCTGGATCTGAAACTGAGGTGTTGGCAGAACTGGTTCCTCCTGAGGGCTCTCAGGGGAGGATCTGTCCCAGGCCCGTCTTGTAGACGGCTGGCTTCTTGTGTCTCTTCACATCATCTTCCCTTGTACATGTCTGTCCCTGTCCCCCTTCTTATGAGGACATCAGTCATATTGGATAAAGGCCCACCTTTATGACCTCATCTTAACTAATTACATCTGCAATGACCCTCTTCCCATATAAGGTCAAATCCTGAGGGGTTAGGACTTCAACACATGAATTTGGGGGAAGGGAGACACGACCCAATGCATGGTAGTGACCTTCACAGACTCATCAAATATTCATAGTGAAAAGAGGTCTTAAACGTCGTTTACTTTGCCTACCTGATACCTGAATTCTCTCTTACTCCAAGCCAAGAAGAACATTTAGGATTTGAATATTGTTGGAAACAGGATTTTAGGGTGGTTTTGTTTTTTAACATGCCTGTGTGTGCTTTTCAGAATGGTTCCCACTGTCTAAACCTCAAAGCCTTCAGCGCGTCTGGAACAGGTAAGCACCACCTCGAAAGCCTATCTTTCAGCAGGGTTTAAGGGACATTTCCCTGGACCTCAGGCCATGGAGCACCTCAATCTGCAGGGCCCCGGGAGATGCCTCTGGGAGAGCCAGCCTCCTGTGAGTCTGTTAGTTTTTCTCTATGGACCATTTTACATTCACTAAGATTAGTCATTAAAATTGTTTTGTGCCCCTCAACCATGCCCAAGGCCCTGAGAATGAGGGAGTGTTGGCCTGCAAGAAAACCTAGTGGGTTTATTATTCTCTGACACAGAGAAACCAAATAGCATCATTGAGTGGCTATTGGGGGCGGGGGGTGGGGAGAGCTTGATTCGGGAGGTCATGCTTTCCCAGGCCCTCTCTACGCAGTCTCGCTCAGACCAGGGCAGACTTTTATTACCAGCTTTCAACAAATCCCTAGTTTCTTTTGCAAAGTAAAACAGATAATAGAGACATTCCCGGAATAGTTAGCTAACTAAGCCGTGCCAGGCAACCTCAGGGCTAAGAAGAACTCAGTGTTTTCGGACAATGACCAATTACAATAACCAGTATTATTTGATCTGAGAGTAATTAGCCGAGGCTCTGTTCTTTTTGCTTCAGTGAAGAGGCAAAAAGGGCAGTGAGGAAAACATCAGAGACAGGGGAAACGAGCTCAAATGTCAAAGAAAAACACACTCTTGCAGGTGGGGAGAAGGGGAAGAAATCCCAACTGAACATTCGAATGTTGTTCTTCCCTGCAAATGTGGTAGGGTTTAGCTCAACCTCATGTTGTTTGATTTCTCCAGACTTAGTGTTCATGTGCTTCAGAAAGCCTCCACGTGGAGTGACTATCAGCACAGAGTAGAGTATAGGACTATGGGTTACCGAAGGATCTCTTATTGGGAGGCACCCTCCCCTGTCCCCATGGTGATGTCTGCACACTCCATACTTATTTTCAAATGCACTGTACCACCTGAAAGCCCCTGCTGTTTGGGGGACAGGTGCCAGGGAACTGCTGTTTATCATTTCTTTTTAAATGTGCAAACTTTCTCTTCCCTGCATAGTCAGGTAACTCCTAGCTGGACATATTTGTATTTTAGCACTGTCCTGTGGCTTCCTTCCATTTCACGATTGGCTTACCATTGAACTGCAAACCTGCACACCACCTGAACACCCTGTGCAGCTGCTGCTGGCACTGTCGTATGACAGGAGAAAGTGCCACCAGCCTTTGGCTATTGTCCTACCAGCCCTTCCTTCTAGGGCTGAGCAGGACTTGAATTAGCTGAACATCCCTCTGACTTTTCTGACCAAGTGCAACACCCAGCACCTCTGCCCATTGCTGGGCTCCCAGCAATACCTTTGTCTTAGTTCGGACTTCTGGCTTCTCTTTGCTCAGATCCTCAGAGCAATGAGTAATGTCTAGAGCTGTGTGGTCTAGTACAGTAGCCACTAGCCACATGTGGCTGTTTAAATTTAAATTAATTAAAACTAAAATTCAAGTTGCTCTATCATTTTAGTGAAACTTCAAGGGCTCAATGGCCACATGTAAGTAGTGGCTACACTATTGAATGGGGTGGAAATAAAACATTGTTATCATTATGGAAAGTTCTATTGGATAACACTGGCCTAGGTTATCACCCAACACAATTCCTGGCTCTGGCAAGGTCACTGGCATTGAAAAGGGTCTAATGTTAGGTGGGATGTCCACCATGCTGCCTATGTAATTTCATGTATTCCTCACAAATTTCATTCCTATTTTAAAAAGGAAAAAAACCGAGGCTCCAAGAGGTTAAGTCATTTGGCCAAGGTCATCAAGCTAAGAGATAGAGCCAGGATTCACCCAGTTCCCAGGGCTCTGTGGCTTTGTCAGTTGAGTCAGGTCACAAGTGTGATGAGTGAAGAGCAGCCAAGGTGTCACTGGCTTCTCTACAAGATTTTAGCCAAGGTAAATCAGATCTGTGCAGGGCTATACATGCCCCCAGGGCCTGCGGTGTGCCTGGGGTGTGCCTGGGGTGTGCCTGGGGTGTGCCTGGGGTTTGGTGGTGACCCGATTGAAATGGGCCTAGCAAGTGCACATGCACATGATAGACAGATTAGGGTGTCACAGCTTCTTGGGTGTTATTTCTCCCTGGTGTCGGATACATTTCTTACTGGGAGGGGGGGGGTGTCCTAAATTGACAGCATTAAAGAAGTACCCACTCTCCTGAAACAACAAACAAAAAGGTCATCCTTGGGGGGAAAAATGAAGATATTTGAATAAAGCCTGCAGTTTAGTAAATAGTATTGCACCAATAATAATTATTGGTTTTGATCATTTTACTGTGGTTAGACAAGATGTTAACATTAGGGGAAGCTGGTAAAACACCCAAGACCACTCTCTGCATTATGCCTGAAAATCTTCTATAAACCTAAAATTACTTCAAAATAAAAACAAATTGAAAAATAAAAGCGCCTACTCTATCCCTGCCTTTTTTCTCTTCCGGTGGCTCCAGGGGAAAACAACAAAGAGCCCGGCTGAACTCAGTGGCCAGCCTTGTGCAGCAAACAGACAAAGCCCCTCCACTGTCAAGGTTGATACCAGGCAGCAGTGGCAGTGGGAGATTTTTATACTCAGAGACCAGTTGTGCTGTTGCCTCAGGTTCCTGAGAACCACCAGATTTTAGATGTGTGGAGTGATGAGCTAGTTGGTGGTGCTTTGCACCCCCCAGAGCCTGATTTTTCTTTTTTCTCACAGTTTGTGTTGCTATTCTGGACTTCAAAAATTAAATGTGGATGTCCTCTCACCCAGCACATCTTTTAGGACCAATTTACAATTTTAATCTTTCTTTACTACAACTCTTATAAGCAATGGGGCCTGTGGCAATTCAGGTTAGCTGGAATGAGTTTGTTTTCCTTGCACACAGAGACAGGAACTCTCCCAGGATGCCGGTAGAAATAGAAAATGATGTTCTTAATAAAAATTTTTAACATGTTGTATATTCTTCAACCTGGGAATTTCAGTTCTCAGAATGTGTACTAAGAAAATCATCACACAAGTACACAAGGATTTCTCTTTGAGGATATTTGTCACAACATGATTTTAATAGTAGCCCCTCACACTCTAACAAAAAAGAGAAACAACTTCAATATGCACCCAGCCATGTACGTTATGGCATGTCTGCATAATGGAGTGCTATGCAGCCACTAAAATTATGTCCTAGGAAGCTATTCCAAGTCCTGGGAAGGTGATCGAGACAGTCAGGTGGAAAAAATTGGTTATAACAACATGTAGAGTATGATTCTATTTTTAGGTAAAACAAGAAAAAACAGCATAAAAATAAAGGACTAAAGAAGAAAAAAATGAACATGAAAACAATGGCGATTATCTTTGAGTGAAGGGAGTTATCTAAGAGTGACAGAGGAGTTTTAATTTTCTCTCTGCATTTTCTAGGTGTTCCTCAATAAGTGGAACAATGGAACACTTCTCACTTCTTGAAATGTCACTAGAAGGAGGGTTTCACCAGAGGACTCTTTGTCTCTATTAACAGACTCTCATTAAGTGGGTGGGTAGATTCTCTTAACCCTACAAGATACTTCAGGCATGTTTGGTAGTCAACATCACAAGCCTAACACATAATATTTATTAACATTCAGCCTATAGGGAAAGGCGCTGGCAGGCCAGTTAACATTTGTGGTGTTCACTTTCCATGCCAATGCTCATATCCAAAGTAGAGGTTGTAACCAGTGAATCATTGTTCTAGTGGGAATTGGAGTGGGTCTCAAACTGTACAAATGAGGCAGTAAAGGTAGTCCATAGTAAGCAAGAGTAGAGATGGCAGAAAGAAGCAAAATGAGACAAACATGGAGAAAAAATTATCATTTGTGCCCAATGAAGCAATATTTGTATCCCTGGGGCTCTTTTTTCAGCTCCCAAATATAAGTGCAAAGTGCCAAGAGCAAGAGATCATTCGGACGCTTGTCCAGCTTGAAAGGCCCCACTGCGAGCTGCTAGCAAAGGCTTGTATTCAAGGAGGGCGCAGATTTGGCTTACACAGGGAAGACGAACATGAAGCTGGCTCATAGAAGGAAAAGATTTGATTTGTATGCTTTGCCCTGGCCGCTGCCTCTGCCAGCGAAGGAGAAGGAGAAGTGGGTGGTGGCAGTCATAGTTTGGAGGCCACAGGGCTGACACAAATCCCGGCACCACTAGAAGTCTTGTGGGAAGAGTGGGGAGAGGATTAGTTAATTAGAAAAGGAAAGTCCTAAAAAAGAAGTCCTTATATTACTACTCTCTTTTCAATGTTCTGATAAAAGTGGCCTGTCCTTCCTATGTGTCCCTACTATCCCTGTGAGCTTTTCCTGGCTTCCCCAGCCATCCGACATAAATACAGTCTAAATAAAAACAGCATGCATGCTATGCTAACACCAGTTCAAAACAGATGCTGTTGCCTTCCTTATCCAATCAGATTGCAGCTCCTCAGCCTCTTCTACAGAGGAATTCTGTAACAATTCAATTATGAGCCAATGGATGGGAATGTGCAGAGAGAACAAATCACCGATTGGGGTGGAGGTGGATGCTGATAGATGCATCACTCTGTCCTCACCACAACCACTTATCCACCCACCCACCCCTGGAAATTCACAGAGTGGGTTCAGATCCCAAGTTTGGCATATGTGCCACTCCACTACCCTATAGCGAGAGTGAGCCAACAACACTTTCTTCACAGAATTTTCCCTGAATCTCCTTCCAGAGCATTACCGGGCCCTAGTGATTTGTACCAGCTTCCCCACTCCAAACCCCATGTCGTTAGCCCTGAAAACCTACGCTGGGCAGGGCACCCACGCCCACCAGCCCCTCTTCAGGCCCTTGCTACTAAACAGGCCTCCATCCCAGATTTCCTCATCTCCTAATTGGCCTGGAAATTTGCGAGGACTGGGGATTTGCAAAATTTTTTCTTTAAATCTATAAAGCAATTAATTCCGAGGTTGAGGGTAAAGTTACCTGTTTGTAGAAACAGTTTTATGTCCTGGGAATTAGATACCTGAAAGTTTCTTATGTAAATCCTATGCAAAAATTAGGCAAATTATCACTCTGGGCCAGGACTTCCAGCCTCACTACATTATAGAAGGGGAAGGGTATCAGTTCCTTGTTGCTTGAGATTGGTATGTATATTTGACATTAAATCAGCCCATCTATTTTTGTCTAATTGGGGATTTGCATGGCCATGCAATTTAATTCTGAATGTCAAGCATCAGTCCTGTGGTTAATTGCCTCCTGGGACCTGCAGTTTTCCGTCTTGTGGTTTTCCACTTGTAAACCCTTCTGTGGGCTCTAGAGATGGGTGTATACACTTAAACAATTGATGCTAGATTAGCAAAGACTTTCAAACATTGTAAGTACATAGGAAACATGAAGACCCACAAGGTCTGGAGGATTAGCCCCTACAACCCTCTCTAGCTTCATATCTGGCCCCTCTCCCACTCTTTGTCTAGGCCAGCCAACTGGCCTTTCTTCCTGTAAACTCACTCTTCTCCCTCCCACCCCAGGGTCTGTATGAGCACCACAGATCTCTACCTACGTTGCCTACCCCAATTCCTCAGCTCTCAGCTCAAATGTGGCTTCCTCAGGGAAACCTTCCCTGACTAGCTCCCCCCACTATCAATCAGATATCTGGGCCTTTTTCTTCACAGTTGTACTTAGACACTTATAGGATAAGTTGACAAGTGTCTGACCCCTCTACTAGACCAAGCTGCCAGAAGGCAGAGTCTTGCCTGTATCTCTCAGAGCCAGTCACCTCCTAACACATAGTAGTTGCTCAACTGATGGATTTATGCATCTCTAGATTTATAATTCAACATGAGATCAACTTGAGGATCTGCCCTTACTATAATTTGGGTACCTAATTATCTCTCTTCCTATGCTCCATCTCATGGAGAGTCAAGAGAACATCTTAGCTAATAACCCTAGGAATTGAGCTTCAGAAACACTATACATAAGGGCGTTTTCCACCCAAGCTTTAACCTATAAAATTGCTTCTCTCCCTCTTCCCCTTCCAGGAGTCAATGCTTGCTGCCCCTGGAGCATATTTCCAACCTGGCTTTTCTGCTTGGTAGAGGCTGCTGTGTCCCTCCAAGGAGAATCCTTAATTATACATTTCTGCTTCTATAATTATAATTCTGGGTCCTTTATCTATACATGGTGCCAGAGACACTATGGAGGCTGGGAGTGGGGGTAGGCATTGAATGATAGAGTACTGAGCTTTCTCCCCTTCTTAGTAACTGGACAGGTAAGAGTTTCACTGTGGAGGTTATTTTTCCACTTGCCATCAACTTTACTAATCCCAGGAAAATTCTACTTGAAACACTCCTCCAGCCATTTCCTTTTCTTTACTTTTCTCCTCTCCCCTTTTATTTATCAGAAGGGAGGCCTCTGGAGAAACGCTCTTCTTCTCTTCCATTTTTTCAGATTGGGCAGAATTCCTGAAGCTGAAGACCTGGCCTCGTTAATGCTGAAAGGCTTTCCCAGAGACCGCGTCTCCGCCCAGGAAGCCCTGGTTCATGATTATTTCAGCTCCCTGCCATCTCAGTTGCACCAGCTTCCTGATGGTCAGTGAGGGAGTGTGTGTGTGTGTGTGTGTGTGTGTGTGTGTGTACACATGGTCTTAGAGTCTAAGTGTTTCCTCTGAGCCCTGGCGAATCATAGAATTTACAACCAAATGTGAGCTTGGAGGCCAATTTGCGCAGGAAAAGCAAAGTGGGATGCAATCTTGGTTGAGTGTTCATGAGATTCTCTAACACTCAAAAGCACTGGTGGATTCAGGTGACACAGGCCTCTTTGTAATGATCAAACCACTTCCCATTTACACACTTACACTTAGAAATTGGATGAGAGGAAGGTTGCCTCTGAGTTTACTTTCACTAGCATCTGCCAGGAAAAGCAAAACCAAAGCTTCTAACAACCCCCTTCTCTCTTTCCGTGGAGGGTAAGATGATAGGTGACACGGATATGTCAGAGAGGAGAGCAGGCCTGTCTGGATTGGTAATCTGATGCTGCCACGGGAAGTACCGGGGCGGGGCGCTGCGGGGAGGGGAGCACCCTCCCAGGCCAGACACCCACGGGAAACACAAGTTACCCTGAAATCAGCTTAGCTGCCTGGGCCTGAAGTCATCCTCCAAATCTGAAATCTGCCAAGGGATCATGTGGCTGGAGCTCTCCTCATGTTTCTCAGAATGTGGCCAGGAAGGGCTATGCGGAGGATGTGGGCAGTGTGGTCATGGCCCGGGCTGTTGTGGAGGACTATCCTTAGGTGGGGTTTCTTTGAAAACACCCACCATTCAACTGAAAACAGTTTTTAGAAGTCCTAAGCTAGAAAGAAGAAAGCTAACAAGTAAGGCCTATGGACTTGGACTGGGAAGAAGGTACTAGATCCTGGGACATATGGCCTGGCCATAGTCTCTGGGGTTTGCAAACGCAGCACCACATTGTATTGAGGACATTGTCCTGCAGTGGTTCAAAGCTCTTAGTTTGTGATTTCTCAAGGTATTTTATTATTAAAGTGAGTCCTTTAGGATCTCTAGAAATAACCAGAATCATACAATTGGGGTTAATGTGTCTTACTTAACCCTGTGAAAAGAGTCAGTCATTAGTATTTATTAAGTTGCCGTTAAGTGTCAAGAACATATTAAGTGCTATAAAAATTGAGGAAAAAAAGAGGCTTGTCCTTGACCTCAAGGATCCCACAGTGTGGGAGGAAAAGAGGGTGAGGAAGAGGAAACAGGGCACCCTCGTACACATATTAGCACAAATCATATCTAAACAGCTCCAGTCGGTGCATAATCAGCTGCAGATGTTCAGAGAATGTGTGTGTGCTGAAGGCAGTTCTTTGGAGGAACCAGAATAAGTCAAGTGAGATGGATTAGACTGGAGGTGAATCTGGAGTGGAATTTGAAAGGAGGGAAGGGACATGGTTTGGCATGTGGGTGGAATAAAAAGCATTCCAGGAGACCTATAATTCTTACTGGTACCCTCCTGGTTCCTCTCCCCTCACTTCATGCCCTCCACTCCCATCCCATTCCCTCTTCCCATGCTGAGCCCCTAGATCTCTCTTTGTTAGCTTTCTCCTCTCAGGCTTAGGACTTCCAACTACCACTTCAGGAAAGTATACAAGCTTGAGTGTCCACGCTCTCCCTCTCTCTCTCTCTCTCTCTCTCTCTCTCTCTCTCTCTCTCTCTCTCTCTCATGCTCTCATACTCTCCTCTCTCCACTTAAAGAAACTTCTCGCATTGGCTCTCCTCCAGGATCTATTATTCCACATACAGAGTACTGCTGGGATCTTCAAAGTTTTCTGGGCATCAGCTTTTGCCTGATGAAGGGTAATTAGGAAGAAACAATTGCTGTCCAAACTGATGTGTTGTTAGAAATTTGAGTTTTGGGTTTTCCTGGCCACCTGAAACAAAGCCACCAACAGAGGGGCTCTGCTTACATGTGCGTGCACACATGCAGGTGTAAGAGAGAGACCGATCTGTATTCCTTCTCTGTTCGCCCAGCCACGGAACCCAAATCTACTTTGACACTTTTAGAAAAATGAAAAGATGGAATCTTGCAGGAGGCTGCCTGTGCTGGGGGAGGCGAAGAACGCTCACAGCAGGAGGGAAGTTGACTTTTCTTTATACATATAGGGGTTTTTCCATGCAGAGTTTAAATTATGCCTGATAAAAGGAGTTTCATGGATGTTTCAGGTCTTTCAAATTCTCCTGGCTTCCTCCCAATTAAATGAGGTTTGTCAAAGCCACGGGGCTCTGCTGCTGCTGCCTGGGCCGACAAGCACTTCCTGCAGCGACATCTCAAATCCCCGAGGGAGAAGATGAAAGGGCCAGTGCCAAGAGACAGGGGAAGGGGGGGTGGGATTGGGGGTTCGTGTGTGTATGTGTGTGTGCATGTAGGAGGGGGTGCAGAAATAGGTTTAGAGACAGACCAACAGATGGGACTTGGGACAAGTAGACAGGGAAAGCAAATCCATCAGGAAAATTGGAAAGAAATATAGAGCAAGAGAGAGAAGCAGCTGGGGCCAGTTTGTGCACCTTGACAGCAGTGGCCCTCGCCAAGGGCACATCCACTAGAGCAGGGGTGTCAAACTCATTTTCACTGGGGGCCACATCAGCCTCAAGGTTGCCTTCAAAGGGCTGAAGGTGATTTTAGAACTGTATAAATGTAACTACTCCTCAACAGTTAAGGGAGAGCTTGGTGCTGCCACCGGTAGAAACAAGGTGCCGGACCAGATTTTAGAAAAAGGTGGAGGGCCCGATTCAGCCCGAGGGCTTTGTGTTTGCCACCTGTGATCTAGAGGATGCATCCCCTTGGCCTGGCAGCACCAGTGTACGTTTTTATTGCCCATGGTAATGAGCCTTTATTAAGAGCCTCCTTTGCAGACAGGGAACACCAACCAGTTATCGTAGTTCCCAACCAGTAGAGACACAGAAGCTATATCCTCATCCCTGGTGGGTTGCCCCAGGCATAAGAATTGTGCAAAAATAAGACATGTTCATGTGAGGAGTTTGTAAAGAGAGTTTCCCTGCCATAATTATGCAAGAAATTTTGCTCTCTGGTGACAATTCAGTATGGAATGATTTAGGGGTTTATATTTATATCATTTTATTATTCTGGTTGCAGGATAACAAAGTTGTCACTTTAAAATATATTCTGTTTCCCCTTTGATCTGGGAGATGATGCCAACTCTTACTGTCTGAGCTCTGAAGAAGACAGTTTAAGCATGGAACCTGTGGGTGGGAAATATGTGAAAAGTGGAAGGACAGCCTAAATCTCAGTGAAGGAGTGACATAGATATTCTCCCCCAAATGCAAGAATTGCTCACACCCATCCATGTCCATTTTCGAAAAGCCTGAGAAGTCCCAAGCAACCCTTTCTCCAGGTCATGACAATAAGCTTATGGCCATTGGAAATCAGAGGGTTACTTGCCATGAAAATCCAGGAATTCCAGGATTAGTTCCCCTTTGGAGAGAACTCTGAAGTGGAGAAGCGTGAATATTAGAATGGCAAGCATGTGGGAACTTCTGCCCAGCGCTGACGTTTTCCCTTATTGACTCCTGAACACCTGAAGAAACATTTGCTGAAGGAGAAATTATGGGGAGTCTCTCTCAAAACACACAACACCAAGCTAATTGCTCTTGCAGATGGCCAGGCAGACGCTCTTCTCACACAGCCGCCAGCGATGGCCACACTTGTGGTCCTCGAGCCTGAGCCAGCAGAGCAGGACGTCAGCTGGGGCAGCAAGGACCTAAAATTAGGCCCTTGGCAACTCCCTAATCTTAGCTGCAGTTTCGGCTTCTTCATTTAATTCCCTTTGCCCTCAGCTTGAACTTGGGCTCTGAGAAAGGAACACTGTTTAATGATTTGGGGGTGGGGGGAGTAGAAAAATCATTAAGCTGCCCCTTGTAGAAACTGGCCCCACTCCGTTCTTGCAAGGGGGCCTTCCAAATGTTACCCTTGGAGAGTTAAGACTGATTTTGGAAACCTGCCATTTTGAACCACAGACACTGATCCACAAGAGTATTTTTTTTAATCTAGGGCAGTAAACGCCACGTGATTTAAGAGTCTGGTCCTTAAGCCCCTGTCCTTGATCCTCAGGACATCAAAGGTTCTCCCCGCGTCAGTGGGTCCCATTTTGCTTTCCAAATCCCAGACAGAGTCTCTCCCATTCTTTCTTGGGCTAAATCCCCCTTCTCTTTTAAAACAGGTTTCTGCATCTTGGGGGAGAAAAATCCTAAAACTTAAAGACCGCAATTGTTTCACAAGTAATTTTGCAAAAACAATTTACCAGAGTCCTTCTTGTCATACTTGTTGGGGTGGAAAAAGGCATGGCATTTACCTCAACCCTTCATACCACCACCCTACTATCTATACTCTGGTAGGTCTTCAGCAGGCTTACTCATGGTTCCCAGTAAAATCTGAGTAATTTTTTGTTTTGAAAAAACAAAAAAATTTGGGCTTTCTTTTAATATCTCTTTAGTATTCAATATGTTCAAAGATCCCTTGGTATCACTTTCCCAAGCTCACTTCTCTAGGCTGAACTTCTTAGACTTCCTGCCACCCCCAGATATAGGTTTTGTTTCTCTCCTTCATCAGTGTAGGGCTCAGCGTAGACTCAGTTTCCTAACACAGTGGGAGAATTATGTTCCAGTTCATTCATCGGAGATTTATGGAGCATCTATTAGGTGTGATACTGAGGGATGCAAAAATGAATTAGCCATGGACCCTGTCCTCAAAGAGCTTACATCCCTTAAGGAAATGAGACAACTACCCCAACAGCTGCAGATCAAGTGTGAAGTGCTCTGGCTGCTCAAAGGAGGTGAGATTAACTCCAGCTGTGGGCATCAAGGACCACTTTGTGAGTGGAGCGTGAAGGATGGTGGGGTCTGGATGCTTGGGGAGGAAGAATACCCAGGGAGAAGAGTGGCATCCTCCTCATATTAGCATCTAACATTGTTCTGAAGGTGTCTTACAAAAACAATAGTGTCACAGTTCTGACTTACATTTCATCCTGATTTTTACTCCTTATCAATAATGTAAACACTCTTGCAATAGTTTA